ATTTAGCAAATTGAGTATCAACTCGTAAATATAGCATTTGAATACACAGGTATAACAATACATATTTTTTGTAAGCTTTCCGAATGAGTGCATTCAGTTTACTTTGTTCCTGAAAACGAAACAGAAATTCCGGTTTGAAACTCAACTACAACAGTAGTTGCAGTTTCGAAACTGTGATCGTATTCAGTGCTTGTCACATGCATGAGTTGTCGGTGTATGCAAGTTATGTTGTGGTAATATGGAACATTTGTTGAAGAAGTCAGAATTCGGTTGTTCACAAATAAAAGTGTCGACGCGTAAACGTTACATCTTGACACTTTAATGTGAATGAAATTTGACAAGTAGAATAGAAATCGATAAATATATAAATTAACTATCGTTCAATAAACAGGGTATATGACTGCGTTTTCAAACCTTCTGCATAATGATTCTGGAACTCGGCTCGATATTGAAGACGATAACAGCGCTTATCTAGGATCAAAATGTTATGAAAAGGAATTGATATCGTTTCACATACAGCCATCAATTCTCTGATTTTGACCTACCAGCATTTTCTGATATGAATCTGAATAAAACACACCACAATAAGATTATCAGTTATTGGGTTTGTGTTTAAAATTAATTAGGCATAAAACCCATAAGTGCTTAGCCGAAAGTATTCAAGTTTCGTTTGAAAGTGTATCCGCTACTGTTCGATACCATGATAACATGCCGGATTTCTTTCTCCTACTGTACAGGTGTACAGTATCTGTTCGAACTGTATTTATTAATAGTAGTCAGTTGTCGTTTTCAATATAAAAACATTACTCAAAGCAGAGATACCTGTTACGTTTGCTGTTTCGTTTATTCGCCCATGTGCACGTTTCATAGAGTTTGTTATATTCCCTAAGTTTTGAATGAAAAAAGATCGTCAAATGAAAGAGGAATCTTACTCACTGCCTGAGTTACTTTATACGCAAAGTTTGCAGTATTGAATGCATTGACTGAGAATTCGCGTTCCTCACAAATATATCAATGGACTAGTGTATCTAGGTCGATTGCTAGGATTCAATTCATCATTAATGCTGTTCTAATTCAATATGATATTTATTCAGAGTTATATCTGTCTGATGATCAATGTGATGTTCAATCAATATATGTTCAACGCTTTGTTTAGATATTACGACCTATATTTTGTCTGGTAAGCAGCGTGCAATGTTTTTTTATTTAATCAAATATACAACTTCTGAGGCAGTATTAATCAATTCGGTGCTCAAATCAAATTGTCAAATCTTTTTGGTCTGTTTAGGATGGAATAAATATTCGGCACATTCATGCTTCACGTCATGGGCGTTGTGTCATTCATTCGTTTACAAATATAAACTCTAAAAATTTGCCGATAAAACACTCATAACAATCGGAATATGATGATTTCTGATAAAATGATTTATCAAGTAAAATAATTCGATTACATTCGGATACATTGGGAAATAAATATTTCAGGCTTCAACTTACATTCGTTTTCCTTTAATCTTTGTTTCAACACTTCTATCTGTCTTGAAAAATATGCTGAAACACATGAGAACATGGTACTGACGTTATTATTTACAATATCACGAGTACGTAACTCAATAATACACTGAAACAAGGAAATCTTTTCCATCTTTTGAAGGGTAAGTTAGAACACATCGCTATATTGGTCACAGAATTGCACTTAACTAAACGTGATCAATCTAAAATATATTTTACTGCAACATTCAAGTTACATGATAATATAACACAATTACTGTTATTCATATCTATTTATATATATCAAATTAGTAATTGCAAGTATCATCATGGTTATTCACTTGGCATGTTGGTAAATCTTTACTACTCACCAAGCTGCGAATCTGTATGAATGGGCAAGAAAAATGCACACAAGTAAAACACCAGTATGTGGCACATTCTCTCTAAAGGAAACCAACTCAGTTCTTCTGGTTTTATAATACCAAAGATAACGGGTTATTGGTCAATGTAGCTTGAAGCAAAATGAATGTAAATAGTTTATTGAAAGCCAATCACCTCACAAGGACAGATACAATGATCGATTTGATGAAATTATACAACATTCTGATTGGTCACATTAGTCAGTTCAATGAGAGAACAAATTTTTAAGCCCCTATGATGCTTAATCAGGTGAAATTCAGGTCAGTTTGTGCATTCAGAATTTAGTTTATAAACAAAACTGGTTATCAAATTCTGCTGATACCAATAATCTTTATCCCTACTTATGTAGTCAGGCCGCTGGACGTCATTCAACGCCCAACCGCGTTCCGGACCGAATTCCAATTTTCAATGTAACATTTCATAGATGTATCTATTTATTTGATTCACATGCTGCTTAACTATCAGCATTTGCATTTGCTTTGTTAGATTAAATTTGATAGGTTATATACAGCAATGGATCTCGTTTACCTTGGTATAACAAATTATGTGCGTTTTGTACTTCGTCTCTTCAGTGTGGGCAAACTACTTTGACGACGTCAGAATATTTTTTATTCTCTTTCATTTATTAGGAACAATGTGTGCGCTTCATTTACATTCATTTAAAATGAAACGTTCTCTTAGGTTTGCGATATATCCTAACAACGTTGTTGGTATAAGCACTAAATTTTCTCAAGTTGTCGGATAAAACGATTTAGCAAATAAGCAATCAAGTAGAATTAATTTAGAATTCTTTTATGAGAATTTTTCAACACTAAGTAGATGAAGTAATTTATTCCGTTATATGGGAACGTTAACATCATTACTTTAGATTTTCAAAAGACATAGATGCACAAACGCGTCAGTCGAATAAGTTAGCACTTACAATATGATATGATACAGTTCCACATGTCCGACATTATCTTTGGTGCAAAGTTGTTCAATGTCTGAAAATCAATAAAATGTAATTGCTCAGCTTCACATTTTTCGGACGGATATGTGTGCTGGGCAATTTCGTTTCAAACCGAATTCACTTGTCCTTAAAACGCGAAGAAATTAAGTGTATTTAAAAAATGAGTTCATGATAATTGAGTCATGTGATATGAGCCTAAGTGTGTCCTGATAAGGACATCGTAATCGTGATGAAATCTGTAGCTGCATGAAGTTCAGACTATGCATATTCCCTTATTCAGTCGATTCTGTATATTGGCCTGGATATTTCTACTAATTAGCCGATTTACATCATGCCAAATTTCGATAATTAGAGTAAACTTGGAAGTCTGAAGATATTAGGATTGTAGTGAAACTATTTTATGAAGAAAATATAAATACTGATACTTATTGTTGACCATGTATAACAACAACTGTTTCATTGTACAGTACAATCGTCTCAAGCAGGTGATTCTTCAATATTTCCTCCCATGGAGGGAGGAACGTTTGAGGACACTGTTAGCACGACACACCCTGGGTGATGCTGAACCGAGCCAGCACCTCATGCGCCTGCACTGCCTGGCAGGACCGACCTGATATAGCCAAGGAACTGTGACTCGAATCTTTACCATCACATGTACAGCCTACGGTCGCCGCTCTGCCTGAGTATATGCCACTATCCAGATTGGCCCTGTCTCAGACAGAGCCATAGAGGGAACTGACCGTAGAGACAATATACGGTTGCAAAAAGTTTCGGTACATATCTGTTTGCGCGTTAAAAACCATGGATTTGATATTCGACGATGTATCGAATAATGCAGCCTACGTGAATCGAAAAGCAATTCATAGAGCTGTCAGGAATCGATACCGAGTACGGCTATGGAGACGTCAGCAGGGAAGAACGTCCATAGATACTGTCGTCGGTTATTCAGGTTGATAGATAGCTGTCGTGTACCGTAGGTAGGATGACAGAGCCGTTCGCAGCGAGTGGTCGAAGCATCGCAGCCTATGACTTACTGCTATCAAACGATACGACAGAAACTTTGGCACTTGTGGCCACCAAGTACCTAGCGTTAGTGCACAATTCGAGCACGTAAAATAAACTAAAAACCTGAAGTGACGGGGAGGAGACAGGTGAGATTGCGATGACCTGCACCTCGGAGTCTATTATTATAGTCATCTACCATTTCGAAAGGTTGTTGCAAGTATAGTATATATTAAAGACATTATTATTAGTATTGCAACATTACATAAATGGTGATAGATGAATAATAGACTCACCGTAATTGAATTCTTTTAGAAAAACGTCGGTCTCACCAATTGTTGTGAACCACATTGACCATGCTCACCACTAAATGTTCCATGATATCCCGCCGTGAATAAAAGCAAAATAATCCAAGTTTGAGTTGTTTATTGAATGAGAACGTTAGCATTACATGGGGAGCAGCAAATAGACAAAAATGGCAGCAACGCAAACAGAACGTTGCGCGCAAGCAGTGGAAGAAATATTTTTGGTAAAGTTAAACAATACGAGTACAATAATGTTTACATTTCACGAATCGCATTTTCTTTGTTGAAGCGTTCCACTAGAATGTAATGCCGGTTAAGGCTATAAGTACCGTGAAACTTCTATTTCTTAACAATAAATAATTCAAAGTAAGTTTCAACAATACTCTTTCTTTCCGAAAGCATGGATTATTCAATTGAGGTGTCATAACGATGATGTACAGAGAGGGGAAGATTTTATTGACTGACAGTAATGCTTCTCAACGACACAATAATATCAACAACTCCGTTCACAGACCTAAAATTAAGTGGTGGTAGAAAACGTTCACTAAGCTTTTATAAAATAAAACAAACATTATCGAAATAAATGTTTCACAAACTTAGTTCAGTTAAAAAAATGTGAAGAATTGTCGTCTTCATATTCTAATATGTATGTGTTTATTTTTTTGGTGGGAATTTTCAAAATAATACTCGAAGCATTCATTTCATAACCTTCCGTAAAAGAGTGAAATTCCGGTTCCGTTGGCCAATGAAGCCTTCGTGAAACAGCATCTTCTTTCAATTGATCAGCTGTTAGTGTCATCTCTGTTACATCGGTTACTGTGATACCAGTGAACAAATGCTTGACATCTATGTGTGTATTTTTGGAACTATCCAAAGTGTGTAAATTTTCAAATCTTACAAGAATTTGTTTTTTAGTGTCTGGTCTGTGAACAACATTCACTGGCCATGATGATAAACTTAGTAAGTGAATATTACTTGGTAAAGATTTTCTGATCCCACTCCATCCATTGATATGGTCTGTTAAACTTTGTTTATTAGATGGTAGAAATACTGGGATGATTGGTCGTCGCATTGTTTGAGCAATCTTTCTATCTTCATTCTCAATTAAATACAATTCGTCAAATCTTATTCGATGTGTGCCACGAACAATAAGACCTATTTGGTAAAAATAAATGAAGATGAGTGTTATCGTTCTCATTGTTGTTACTATATCCTATGGAATATAAAATTATGCCATACTGATAACCGGAAGGATAGTGAGCACTTCCAATTACCCAAAACAAAATATAGGATAAATAGATATTCATTCACTCAGAAGCCTAGCCACATCCAAACTCCTAACCAAATAAAATTAGGAACAAAGAGAAAGAATGAATAATATTTGTTCTTATTCAGGTAGTAGTTCGATGGATTCCAGTTACACGGTAGATAGCATATAATTGCAACAACAGAAGCAACATCTTTGACCGACTGACGGAACCCTGCATTTTGTAAAATCAGTATATGGATATCAGTGAATGTAGTTCAATACTTGAATGGCAGAAATCTACTCATAACTGATGTGCTTAAACCTTACATATCACAAGACAATTTTCTTTCAAATTTATAGAAGGAAAGAAATTCGCTTTTAAAAAAATATTTCCTGTATTTATTTATTCCGATTAGAATATCAGGAAAGTAGTTTTCACTAGCTAAATGCACAAATAAAATGAAACATTGTGTGAAAATGTCGTGGTGGTGTTTGATTCTTTGAGCTGAGTGTTCTGGTTGTGGAGCTTTCATTGTTCTTCTGAACAACATCATTAGCACAAACGTCAGATAGAAGTGAAGCATTCGAATTTATCCATGTTTGACCTGTAGCTTGTTCTGCCAACCTCGATCTTGATTGGTTGATGTTGACATTAAACCTGATGCAATCAAAACAAAGCTGCAAACAACGACAAGTTTAAGGTCAACAGTAAGCAATCGAGATTGAGGTTAGCACAACAAGCTACAGGTCAAACATGGAGAAATTCGAATACTTCACTTCTATCTTACGTTTGTGCTGGTGTTGTTGTTCAAAAGAACAATGAAAGCTCCACAACCAGAACACCCCTGTCAGAGAACCCAACACCACTACCACAATCATCCACCTGAGCTAAAAATCTTCTGCACCATCTCAGTTGTGTGAAATTTTA